GTGAAGAGAGCAGATGGCCAGTGCAGGGAGAGGGTAGTAATGACAACGTGCAGAGGTGAGGCTGGGGATGGAGGGGAAAGGTAGGGAGGGGAGGACCAGGCAGAAGGCATCTCTGTGCTGGTGCTGGGCCTGAGTGAGGCTTCCCAGGAGCTCTGTCTCTTGGCCATGCTGCCTGAGAAGTTTGAAGGCAGAACCAGTGGGCGGGGCTAGACTTTATCTTAGGGCGCAGTCCTAACCTCAGATGGTGACAGAGCGGGAGCTAGCAGGGGTTTTGCAAACCGTCCCGATTGCAGCAGGCCAGCAGTCTCGCTCTGGAGGGCGGGTGGGGCCTGGGCTTATCTCCCAAGTACAGTCCTAACCTCAGATGGTGACAAAGCGGGAGCTAGCAGGCGTTTTGCAAACCGTCCCGATTGCAGCAGGGCTGGATGGCCTGGCCAGGGGCAACAGTGCTAGGCGTGGGGGGCAACAGAGGGTTGGACAGTTTGGGGCCTTGGGTTGAAGTTTGGCTTTTGGGGTGTGGGGGATCCATTCTACCTATGGCTTGCCTTCACCTACCTGAGATCTCTGTTTCTAAAACCACAGGGGGAGGCTATGGCTCTGTAGGTGGGGTTCTCCCTGTTAGGAAGCCTGGCTTTTCCCAAGTCCTAGGACCCTTCTGCTACTTCCAGAAGTCAGAATTGACGGCCAGTTGCAGCCATTTTCCCACAATGTCCCCAGCAGGGTTGCCTCAGGGAATTTCTCATGAGTCAAGGAAGTTTCTCTGGGGCTGGGCCTGCTTATAGGAGCAGCTGACAAAGTCCAGTCAGGAGTCCTGCCCAAGTATAACCATTCCCACTTAGGAACAGCGCAGGCTGAGAGGAGAGGTCTGCTTGCCAGGGGCCAGCGAGGGTGACAGGAAGTGACTGGCCTGTCAGAGAGGAGGTGCACAGGCCCTCAGCCAGCCCTGGCTATTGTTGCCTCAGCATCTCCTATACAGCCCCCTGCATCCCAGAGCCCCCTCCCTGGCTGGCACAGGGTAGGGGTGGAGGTGAAGAGGCCCCTTTCCACCCCCACTACCCCAACCGGGATCTTGCAACACTGGGATGGGGGCCCTGGGGGCCCAGGCGTGTGGCAATCCATGGGGGGTGGGGTGGGGAGGTGTGCACTGAGCAGGGGAGCAGCTTTCACAAGCAGCCACTGCAGGACTGACCTTGGCTGCCTCACCTTGGGCAGCTTCCTCTCTCTTCCCGGTATCACCAAGCAGCGTTCCTTCTCCTCAGCCGTTTCCCAGGGGCCTGAGGTCCTGTCTCTCAGCTCAGCACTCTCATCCCGGTCCCCAGTTCAGCTCATGAAGGAAAAGCGGGCCTGAGCCCACTGTGGAGGCTAAAGCAATGGGACGCATGTGTGTGCTGTTTGGACCTTGATTTGCTGGTTTCTTAAAGTCACCGCAGCCCAAGGATGAGCACTTCTTTCTGCCTCTTCTTTCTCTGAGGCAGCTCTGCTTTGGGGGGTGAGGGTGGGTTGGAGAAGGGGTTTGGGTGCTGGATGCTTGCTGTCTGTGACACCTCAGTTTCTTAGGGACTGTCCTGTCCCACAGAGGGAATGGGAAGGGGAGAGAGAGTCCTTTGCAATTCCATTCTAGACAGAGGGAGGTGCTTTCTTGTTTACCCCTTTCCTTCTTTCCATTCAGCCAGCCTCACTTGGCTTGCTTTCTTCTTCTTGATCACCCAGATTTTAGAGCCTTCACCTTTTGCTCTCCCCTCTGCTCACCCTTCCACCCCAATTTGGCACATCTGCCTCCTCCTTGAAATGTTTTAGGTTTCAACTCCAGTCACTTTCTCAGAGAAGCCTTCCTTGACCACCCCAGCTAAAATAACCTCCCTCCTAGGGCGCCTGGGTGGCTCAGTCGGTTAAGTGTCTGACTTTGGCTCAGGTCATGATCTTGCGGTCTGTGAGTTCGAGCCCTGCATCGGGCTTTGTGCTGACAGCTCGGAGCCTGCTTCAGATTCTGTGTCTCCCTCTCTCTCTGCCCCTCCCCGACTTGTGCTCTGTCTCTCAAAAATGAATACATGCAAACAAAAAGTTTTTTTTTAAATAAATAAAATAACCTCCCTCCCTGTTTATCCATTTGGTTTCCCCAAATGGAGGTATTAATGGATTGACTGAAGGGATTAAGGGAAAGTTGCAAGGAGAGATGAAGAAACTGGCTAGCTGCAGCGAGGGTCCATTACAGCCCCCAGGGCCATAAGGGCAGGGAGCCTGTGAAAGAGAGCCTTGGGCAGCACCTGTCCCCTACCGCAGAGAGGGTGCCCTCCTGCTGTTCTCCAACGTCCAGTCATGCCTGGAACACAGCAGGATGACTAAGGGTAGGGGGCACCTAGAAAGGCAAAGGAAGATAGTGCACTCGCTTGTTGTCCTTTTCTTCCTACTCCTTCAGTGAAGAGCTGGGTCTGTCTGGGTCACTACCGTGTTCTCAACACCTTGCAAGAGCCCGGCACAGGGACAGATGCTCAACAAATACTTGTTGAATAAGTTACTTTGGCCCAAACCAGAGGAGGTCAGGTTAGAAGCCTCATTCAGAAAGTGTGACCCCTGGCTATGTGTCATCCCCCTGGGATGTGATCTGCCAGAGCATTGGGGCATGCTCAACACTCCTTGTCACGCAGGCACCAGGTGTGTTCTTTTCTCACAGCGGCGCTGGGACCCTTCTCCAGCCCTGGTGCCAAGTACCTGCCCAGAGGATGGTGGACGGCTGGGCGGAGACCCATTTCAGAGCTGTGGGAAAGAAGCACGGGGTTGGTGCTGAACAACCCAGGTCCCATCACCCAGAACCTTGAAAATAAGTCAAGGGGCAGTGGTCTTGAGCTGAGAGGAGGAAATCCGGAGGTTGAGTCACTTACCATGTTCTGTACAAACCCCCCTTATGCAACCCCATCCCCCTGGGCTAAAAGGAAGGTGCGGGATTCTCCCGGACATCCACAGAGACTGGCCCCTCCCCCTTACAAACTCAGAAGGCCCCACGGCTGAGGAATAAACCAGCTATTGACATTCAGATCTGTCTGTGCAGACCAGATCTGTGGCAGTGGGATCCAAGGAGAGATGTAGGACAGGATGCCTGAGGGACACAGAGGCAAAGGCAGGAAAAGGGACCGAGTCCTGGGTGAGGCTGGCATGCTGCCCACGGATGCCCAAGATGTAGGAAGTCTCTGCCCCTGGGGATGTGGAGATGAGGGGAAGGGAGAGAGAGGGAGAGACTGGGAAGATTCAGTCTTTCCACCTGTCAGAAAGTTATACCTTAGTGTCTAACTTGGGCTTTCTCAGCAGTGGCCTACAAGTCACTGGTGGCCCAGGAGAGACTCTAGCCCCTATTGTGTCTTATGTCTCTCATGTGCCCATAATTCCTGGTTACTTATTGAAGGGACTCTCAGGCCCACCCTATGTGCCTCTGTGGGGAGGGTGTGAGCAAGGAGTAGAGACAAGTGCCGTGTAATGACACAGCAAAGGGACTGAGAGAGCCTCAGGAGAATGTCTCTTATCCCCTCTGGCTTTATCTGTAAGATGTGGCTCGCACTATCTTGCTTGTCTGAGGCCAAAGCCCACCAGCCGATCTCTTGAGGTCTCTTCCAGCACCTCTTGAGATCTGTGATTTTTGTGGAGCTGTTTTTGATTCTGCCTCTAAGCAATCCTGTGACTCTGGCTAAGTCCCTTTCTCTTCCTGAGGCCTCAGTTTCCTCACCTACAAAATGAGAAGTTTAGATGAGATCCTGAGGTCCTTCCGGTTCTAGTAAAGTGGAATAATAACAACTATTCATCTCACCATGTGCCAGGCCCTGTTTATCTATGAACATAACAACACTGTGAGATGGGTATTAATCCTACTCCCATGGTACAGATGAGGAAATTGAGGCATAGAGGGAAGTCACTGCTTCAGGTCACACAGCTTGGAAGAACCGGAGGGAGATTCAACTGGAGCCTCTTAAGAGGGCTAGAGTTCTAGCAAGAAAGAATACTTTGCACAAAGGATTTCACTGGTAGAGGTGCCTGGGTGGCTCAGTCGGTTGAGTGTCCAACTTCAGCTCAGGTCACTATCTCACGGCTTGCAAGTCTGAGCCTGGCGTCAGGCTCTGTGCTGACAGTTTGGAACCTGGAGCCTGTTTCACATTCTGTGTCTCCGTCTCTTTCTGCCCCTCCCCTGCTCATGCGCATGCTTTGTTTCTCTCTCAAAAATAAATCAACATTAAACAACAACAACAACAACAACAACAACAACAAAACCAAGGGGTTTACTGACAGAGGTGATCTTGTCATTATCAACTTTCTTTCATACACACAGGTCTCAGGCCTTTCCCAACGGAGTCCTCCCCCAGGCACTCAGATTCTAGTGCTTTGGAGAACTCAAGCCCCAGGGAATGAGGGGCAAAGAGGGAGTGGGTGGATAGGAGCCATGTGTGGGGGGGCTGTCAGCCTGGTGGGCTCAAGCTGTGGAACTGGAGAGAAAAAGTTGAGTCCTGGATTAAGAGCTAGGGGACCATAAATGTGGCAGAGCCATCTGGAAGCTGACAGGAGCTCCCAGACCTATATATCAAGGTGCTGGGGTCAGCAGGCCTAGACACAGGGACTGGGAGGTGCTGGGATCCCCCCACAAGACACAGAACTCTGTTAGGGAAACATCCAGAGGCTGTTCCAGTCCTGTGGGATTGCAGGGGTGGTGTGCCTTCATTATTCAGAAGGATAGAGTGGGTTGGGCTAGGGGCAGGGGGAGAGCGGAGCAGAGTGACAGACACGCAGCTTGGCCGTGTGGCGTGTCAGGGGAGAGCTGTGGGCAGTGTATCTGTATTCTTGGATATTCATTTGTGCATGGAACCGAGAGGTATACAGACCCAGCCATATGCATTCCCTGCCCTTGAGGCCCCCATGCCACACATGCAACACCCCCCCCCCCCCCCCCCCCCCCCCCCCCGCCACTGGAGAAGGCCAAGGCCCAGTGTGCAGGCCCATTACTGAGTCATAGTGCAATTTTATTCAGCCATAGAATCATCATGCTGGGGTCTGCCCTCTTCCCTTGCCACCCGCTGCCATTTGTCCACGGTCTATGTCTCAGGCTCAACCTGTGAGGGCTCTAGGGCCCCAACAGGGTCAGGCCGGGGGCTGGTGTCACAGTCTGCCAGCTGGGCTCAGCTGCAGCCCCCCACGCCCTTGATGAGGTTGGCAGCCTCGGGGATCTGGCGGAAGAGGTTTCGGAGGGTGTCCAGCTCCTGGGTCAGCTGCTCCACGCGGCTGCGGAGGCGCTCGTTCTCTGCCATGTACTCCAGCACCTTCTGTTGCGTCTCCAGGATGCGCCTCTTGGCCTTGTCCCTGCTCTTGCGCACAGCAATGTTGTTCCGCTCCCGCCGAAGCCGGTACTCCAGGCTGTCCTTGTTCACCGCCTTCTTGCCTTTGTGTGAGGGGCCAGCTGGGGATGGCGCCTTGAGGAGGGGGCTGCAGGGGGGTGCGGCGGCGGCCACAGGGGCCTGGAGGGGACACAGAAGGACCAGAGGTGAGGCTCTGGCCAGGAAGCAGAGTGGAGGCAGGGCAGGAATCCCAGCAGCACAGGCACACTTGGGCGTCAAAGAGATACGGGATCCAGAGCCAGCTTTTGGCTCTCAGTGAGAACAGCCACTGCCCTGCCGCATGCAGAGGGTCCCCCGCTCTGACCAAAACTTCCTTTCATGTTCCCACAGGGTCTGAGGACACTTTCCTTCAGTCTCTCTCGAGTCTCTAGTCCTACGACCAGTAGGTGTTTTCTCTTCTAGAAGCAGGTGGCAGAGAAACAAGAGGAAAGGGCTGATGGGCAGCAGAGAAGCTGGTGGGACCTGAGGTCAGGGCAGGTCGGCTGGCCACAGGGGCTGCAGGACACACTGGGTTCCAACCATACGGTAGGGTCTAGGATAAGCGTGAATTCACAGAGAAGCAAAGAGGGGTCCTGGTCGGGGGGGGGAGGGCGTGGTGGTGAGCACAGAGGGCTTTGGGCTGGGTCAGTTCCACACAGCAACATCAAACATAGACTGGTTAGTGTAAGCGGGGAGTTCAGAGTCCTGCACCAGCACGGGCCTCTCTCCAGCTCCTGGGTGCCAGGGACGGGATTTGACCTGCTCTTACCTTGAGGACGCGCAGGGGCTGGCTGGGCGCTGCCAGGGCTGGGGGCAGGTGCATGGCCGTCTGCCCACAGTGTGCTACTTGGTACTGCAGAGGATTGTAGCCACCACGGCTGGCCCCTCGGCTGCCCTCTGGTCCCCGGGGCTCCTCCTTCACGGCCACAGCCCTGGGGTCGTAGCTCCCTGGGCTGCTGTAGATGCCAGGCCCCAGTGCCTTCCTGTCAGGGCCGAAGGTATGTGGCGGGTAGGCGAAGGGCCGTGGGTCGGGCGGCAGGTAGTGGGGGAAGGCAGGGGTTCCAGGTCCCTTAAGCCCTCTGGCCTCAGGTGCTGGCTTCACAGTGAAGAGGTCAGAGAGGAGCTGTTCCTCCCCAGACTCGATGTAGGCGGAGAGGTCGATGGAGGCCTCATGCTCACACATGTCCCCCAGCTCTCCAGGCCCCGCTCTGCCCCCTGAGAACTCGAGTGGCTGCTGGCCAGCCCGGGGCTCACACTCGTAGTAGGTCCCGTGGGACATGGCCGGCCCGCCCCCTCAGCTCCCCGCCCCTGCAGCCCTGCTCTTGGGGCACCCTCTGGGATGCTCGACCTGCCCTCTCCCTATCTCCCCCTGCCCTAGATCTGCCCTAGATCTGCCCTCTCCGGACTCCTCTGTCACCCACTCTTGTGTGGCCTCTCTCCTCCCTCCTCTGCTGTTTCCTTTTCCTTCCTCAGTAGTCAATGCCTCTTTTCTCTTCCCTTTTTTCCTCCTCTCTCCTTGGGGTGACTCAGGGAGGGGCAGGGCGCACCCCGGAGGAAGGGATGCAGGGCTTAGAGAAAGGGGGCCCCTGGCCTATTTAGCAGTTGGGAGCACTCTTTGGTCAGGGTCCAAGCCAGGGTTCTCAGACGCCTAGGAGCTGATGCTTCTGGGAATGCCTCCCCCCTCCCTGTTGAGTCCAGGGGATTCCAGAGTCCTCCCTGAGGGTAACACCTCACTCTGAGTGTCCTCCTCCCTCCGACTTCTAAAAAGTTCTGTGCAGATGAGGTGCCAAGTCAGAATGAACAGAGAAAACCCTCTGCCAGTGCCGACCCCAGCCGGATCTGAGCTCCTCCCTTGACACGCCTCCTTCTCTGCCCCCCGCCCCCCCAACCCAGCGCTGGGCTCCACCTACCCCCAGGGGGAGTCAGTTCCTTTTGTAGCCCCACCTCCCAGGGCATTCTCTTGGGTACAGGCCAGGGGGTGTTGTTTGAGGGGTTTACGAAGTAGTGACAGGTTCTGGGACCAAGCCTGCACTGTGGTGCAGAGCATTTGCTAAGTTTTTGTGCAATAGCCCGAACCCTCTTATGTTTCCAGCCCTGGGTAGCCCTTGCAGCCTGGCACTATCCCTGACTGCCAAGGCTTGGCTGAGGCACCTGCTCAGGACTTGGGCCCCGTGCCCCAGAATCAGGCAGGCTGCTGACCCAGGAGCCGACAGCTGCACTCCTCCAGTGACTCCAGTGCTCTCTCTTCCAGCTGCCCTGCACTGCTAGAGCCTCAGGCTGGCACTGTGCCCCCACCCCCCCATCTGGTCCTGGGGCTCTGCCCTGTTTCCTGTGCCTTGTGCCGCAGGGCTCAGGCACTCACTGCAGCTCGGTTTGCTGTCTTTCCTTCTGCATAGCCGTTCTCTGACCTCGATGCGTGTCTCTTGGGTCCACTTCCTCTTGCAAGTCTTGAGAAGACTTCTCTTTTTGTCATCACCTCTTCCTGGGACTCTGTTGCAGGGTTTCCAGGAGAAGCCCAACCTCGGCACGTTTTGTCTCATGCTGAGCCCCCTCTCCCTTCCCTTTTCTTTTTGCTCTGGGAACTCCCCACTCTCTCCTGTTAGAGGTATTGCAGTTGCTCTGTGCTTACCTATTGAATTTCTCCTACAAAAGGGACTATAGGTCCAGAAAAGGAAAGGACACAGAAATGTGTCACCAACTCTTTTATCACCAGCAGATGCTGTGAGTACCCTGTGGAGGCCAGAAGGTTTCATAAGTAGGGTACATGAAAGGCCAGGACAAATGCAGAGGGGATATGTGTGGCATTGAACATTAAAATAAAGTATGCAAATGTAGACATGGCTGCCTACCCGTCAGGCTAGTTAGCATCTTCCTTCCTCCCTCCCATCTCCAAGGGCACAGCTTAAGGTACTTCCTCTGAAAGCCCTGTCCTGGCATGGGGAGATCTGCGTGTATCCTGGAGACAGATCTCAGGGACCAGATGGGGAGATTTCTATCTGATCTCCTTTTCAAAGGACCTTGGGTCAAACAGGTATCAGAGCTGAAGTACTTGTTTGGCAGGAGTGCCTCTGTTGACCACCAGGTGGCAATGTTGGTCCAGAATTCAGGACTTGAGGGGTTGCTGTGGTCAGGCATCCGGGGGCCGACAGAGGGCAGCCTCCCACAGCCATGACAAGGGCAAGCCGCCGCTGGGCCCCCAGAAGGAGGAAGAAGAATCACCGCGGGGTGGGTGCTTGCAGTGTAGTTACCGGGAGGGTGGGTAGGCTGAGAGGACTGGGGCCAGGGCCTTGTCTTAATGAGGAGAAATTCTAGCCCTCTCCGACTTTGGAATAGTGATGATGGCTAAGGCCTGGCATTTTCTGGGGTTACGCTTTTTTGATCATTGAAACATTTACTTTTCCATGCTGACCATTTCCCTGTGAGTTAAGGGGGAAGGTAAGCAAGACAGAGGGTATTTTTATCTCTGCCTTATAAAAGAGGAAAACAAGGCTGAAAGGCCAAACCTCCCAAGGTCACACAAGGATGCAGTATTGGTCCTGGGGGATAGGGCTGTAGGCTAGTTCTTGAAACCCCCAGGCAAGAAGGGGTGTGGAAATGGGGAGCTGTGTGACTCAGAGAGCCATGTTTGCCCTCAGTCAGCCCTCCTGAGGGGAGCGAGAGACCGTGTCAGTAGCCAGTAGCCAGTGAAGGGGGGGCGGGGGAGGGGGCGCTGGAGGAAGCAGGGAAGTGTGCAAATAGAGCTGGCAGGAAATGAGAAAGGCTGGGGCCAGTAGGAGATAAGTGATCTCGGTCTCTCACCTCCCAGGCTGGTGGCTGACGTTGCTGGAGTACTGACATCAGTGTTTCCCAGTAACCGAGGGGCTTGGTGGGGGTGGGGCAGGTTGCATTCTGGATGTCCCTGCAGGGGAGGAGTGGGTACTGGACAGGAACAGAGGAGGGGAGGGCAGTGCCAGCTAAGAGCAGGGGGCTTCTTGGATTCCATGGAGTTACTCAGGAGTGGAAAGAAGCCTCCTTGGCCAGCAGGATCATTTCCTCCTGTGCTGCTTCAGTTGCTACCTGTTTGCATTAACTGAAACAATGCATGATATATTATCTTAGTGACTTTGTAATAGGCCTCAGTTCAAAAGTCACCTCCTTCACCAGGTCCTTCCAACAGGGAGGCAGCCAAACATGGCAGTCAAGTGTGAGAGAGAACTGGGCTTACATCCTGCCTCTGTCACTTCCCAGCTAGGGGGCCTCAGGCAAGTTACTTAATCTTACTTGTAAAATGGCAGTAGTAAAGTCTACTTTGCTGGATTGTTTAATTACTTTGAATAAGATAATGTATAGAGAGCAACTTATCAGTAAATGTTCAGTCTTCTTCTGCCCTTCCTCTGACCACCTCTTGTGGTTTATCTGTGTCTCCTAAGTAGACAAACTATCTGTAGCCTCATCCGATGCCTTAACTTGACAGGTATTTTGGGGCATGTAGGCACCAGGCACCATACAGGTTCTGGGGATCTGACAGACTCAGCTTGAAGTCCACCTGGTGTGGGCAATCAGCCATGCCCGAAAGTGCACATGTACATGTCATGTGCCTTCTTTCCATCATAGACTATTTGCTCCTTGAGGGTAAGGTCAGATCCACTTTTTGGACTTCTTCAGCTGACCATATTGCCTGAATTATAATTAGTAGAGGTGGATTGTCAAGTATGAATATTTTCATGGAGTCAACGGGACTAAGTATTTGAAATCTGTGCTGATTTGGAAAATTCAGGAGTAAGTTTGCTATTCTCATAGCATATAACAAACCCCTTGGACACGATGGTTCTAAGATATGTTGTGCGACTAACAAATGAATGCTCAAGCAGCTATGATTTCAGTGACCTCCAAAGTCCCTAAGGTCAGAGCATCTGAATTCCTACCATTAAAGTGACTAACAGGGTTAAGACAGGGTAAAAGCCCAGGTTAAAAATAAATGCATGTTGCCCAGGAGGAGACTACATTTTCCCATTTGACCAGGTTAAAAAGGTCAGCAAATGTCACCTTAGGGGGATGGTGGCAGTGGATAGGAACAAGTGTCTCCACAGGGTGAGAGGGGACTGGGAAGGGCCAGACTTGCTGGAATGAGGCAACATGGAGAATATACTGGCAGCCATGGGAAGGAAAAGTATGTGCATTGGGGCAGAGGGGGTTCAAAAGGGTGGATTTGAGTCCTGGAGAGAAGCCTCTTGCACAAGACTGGCCTCTGCCCAGTTTTGCCCTTGCTCTCTGGGGACAACCTTGGGCTGGGAGATTGAAGGACTCTTTGAGAATAGGTTTAATCCTTTTTTTTTTTTTTTCTTTTCCTTTTCTCTAAAAGTGCTATATAGGTTAAGTGACTTGCCCAAGGACACAAGCTGTTTAGTGGCTGCTGACCTGGGACTCAGAGCCAAGCATCTGTACCCCTGTGACTGGCACACCTCCAGTCTGAGTCTAGAAGAAATGCCAGCCATAAATGAGGAGTGTTGGGGCCAGGCCAGGACTGGGAGTGGAGGCATTTTGCCTGCCTGTGTCCTCACGTGTCCTAGATGGTAGAGGGTGATGTCTTAATAACCCCCTCCCCTGCCCGTGTCTGCCAGAAGTACTGGCTCTGGAGTAATGCAGCCCCAGGACAGGCAGCTGGGAGGCTGCCCACAAAGGAGGCACTCCAAGCAAGGACTGGGCCTAATCCCATCAACTTCCTCCAGCAATTAACCCAAAGCACGAGGCGAACTTGTTCCTACTGTACCTGCTCCCTCCTTTGTCCTCACTCAGCAGCCTTCCTAGTCTTCTAACTAGACACGGTCCTCTCAGTCTGCTCTGTGCAACTGAGGGGGACTGTGTCTCACCTCCTAGTCCCTCCTGTCAAACCCCTTGTATCTGGCTGGGTGTTTTCCTAAGTCTCCCTGGCATCTCTCCACAAGCTCAGCCTGTCCCTTCCTTTCCCACCTGGTGCCAGCTGTCCTGGTGCCAGAAGCCTTTGCTGATCCGGCCTTGGGGAACCACCCTGCCTTTGCCTCCCTCCACTCAACTTAGTGCTGTCTGTCATCCATGTCCCCAACTGGGCAGTGAGGAGGTTCTTCTTCCCAGCTAGTTTGTGGGCTCTCGGTAAAGTAGGAACTTTAACACTTTCTGATTTTACTGAAGCAATGAGAAAGTTTTTGGTTCAAAACGAGAGGGAGTTAAAACAACAACAACAACAACAACAACAACAAACCCAAAGAGGTGGTATTTGTACTGGCACTGAGTCCCTGGAACAGAGCAAGGGCCATTCTGGGGTGAAGCTGGCAACCAAAGCATCCTCATGAGATAGAAACACCTGGGGACTTTGTTTCAGAAGATCACTGAGTTATTACCACCAACAACTTCATTTCCATTTAAAATTTTATTACATCAAAAGAAAAAACAAAAACAAAAAACAAAAAACCCTTCACAAACCGAACTCTAACCCTCAACCAACTCAACGACAGATTATTATTCAGGTATAACTAAGGCCCTCCCCCCACCCCAAACAACCTTACATTAAAAAATCCAAAAGAAATAGAAATACCAGCTTCAAAAATATGTATCCAAAAAAGTAAGGCATTCACTTTATGAAACAAACAAACAAATCAACCCCAACAATTGAAGGAGGGATGGAGGTTGGAGGAATGAGAACAGAGAACAGGAGGACGGTTCCCTGACCCTTGAGGGGCCAGCCCTATCCTGCCCTCCACTTGGAAGGGACCAGAACTCAAACCAAACCTGGCAGCTCACCAATGGGGGGTCAGGCAGGCCAGGTGGGGAGTTGGTGGAGCCAAGCAAGCCAGGAGCACTCCCCACGTGTTCTAGTCTAAGCAGATGGTACAGGGAGGTAGGAAAGAGGGGATCCTGCTTTGTGATGAAAAGATCCTCGTCCTTAGCACAGCAAGTGTGGCAGGAAGGGCAAACATGGTGGCCTTCCTCTGGAGTGCAGGGAAAGGCAGCCTCTGCCCACAGGATGGCCAGAAGTCCACATACCATAGAGAATGTGTCTCCAAAATGGGTACCTTCTGCCACTGCCCTTTCATCCTGTCTTGGAGGCTGTCTAAAGACAGGCAGTGGTGGGACCAAAAATGGGGGGCATCTGAGTAGGGGGAGGAGGGATGAACTAGCCTTCAGAAGACACTCTCTCCCCAAATAGTCTTCCAGCTTATGGGATGGGCACTTCTGGGGGGTGGGTGGGAAAGCACCCTCCATTCCAGGAAGGCTTTTCATACCAGGTCTGTCCTGAGGGTTAGAAATCAGGGAGTATTTTTAGGTCCAGTTCTTGGATGGGAGGTGACTTAAGGCTGATTTGGCTTGGGTTTCAGGCCTGAAGGGCTTGGGGAGCCTTCACATTGGTTGGTCCCAGAGCCAAGCCAGAGAGGAGGAAAAGGACATGATGGGGGTGCCAGCAGGGGGCATGTTGGGGGCATGGCTGCAGGGATAATGGAGTGACTGCTTCTTCTCGTGGGAGTAGGGAGGGAAGAGGAGCCGAGCAGCTTTGCCATCAGGAGAAAAATGTCCACTACACTGAAAACAAGACTTTCTGGCTTCAGGAAGCTTTGGCACCGAATGGGGGTCAGGATGCAGGAGACAGGGGCAGGGCTGGGTTTCTGCAATTTGAGCCTTTCCCAATCTCTTCCACAGGCCTGGCTTGGGGTTAGGAGGAGGGGGCAGTTCTCCTGCTCATTGGTCCTTAGCTCAGTAGGAAGGTGGTGTCCCAACAGGAACCTTGCTCTAGCCAGGGAGCCCAAGCTGGGGTGGGGGGAGGTACACGGGGAGGGGGAGAGGAGAGAACAGAGGGAAGCATCTCTCTGATTTCTTGGGTCCCTAGTGAAGGGAGAGGGATATGGGTCTCTCCAGTTGACCTTTAAAGATGACAGATTTGCTTGAGTCTGTCCCGCCCCAAAAGACTCACTGTTGCTTCCAATTCTCTGAGCAGAGGCCTCCCTTGGGCTCAGGAATGGGGAGGGAAGGCAGTACTGAACTGGGCTCCTGAGGAGGCAAGTGAGGGTTTGAGCCCCCAGGGCGGTACAGGAAGGCCCTGTAGGATACCCCCAGCAGCTCCACTCTCCTCCCACTGCTTGAAGCAAACCCTCACAAGGGTTTTGGACATAGGCCCTGGTGGTAAGAAGCTGGTTCTTTGGGTACAAATGTCAGTGTCTTTGTTTATAGTTTTTTACACCCACATCCAGGTCCTGCCCCTGCTTGACAGAAACAGAGGGGTGTGTGTGTGTGTGTGTGTGTGTGTGTGTGTGTGTGTGCGTGTGTGTGTGTTGGGGTGGGACCTAGCCCGGGAAGGAGGGCAAAAAGGGGGTATAGGAAGAAGAAGCCAGTTGAGAGGGGATGGTGGTCCTCAGGGCTGGGGCTGCTCCGAGTCCTTGTCCTTGCAGGCAGTGGGTTGGTAGATGGGCTGCCGCTGTTCTTCTGTGTCCTCATTTAGCTCCTCTGTCCCTGAGCCCCCCTCCACCTCGGGGTACACAACCACACACATCTTCTGGCTCACCAGGGTTAGCAGCTCTATGGGAGGTTACACAGAACAGGTCAGTGCTGAGCATCCCACCAAAACAGCCAACCAGGCTACGGCCCTGCCCAGATCTCCTGCCCCAGATGTAAACTCAGCAGAGCTGCCAACACCTTCAGGAGACTTCCATTCCAGGAGACAGCCACCTTACCACCTCCTCTGTCTCTGGGAAGCCTGTTTGTTGGCTGCCCATTCCCATAAAAGCCTTAGTCCTGCACCTTCCCTACACTTGCTGACCACCAGTTCCAGGGTCTTCCCTGGCCTCTACCTCAGGCAGCTCCTGCAGGATGGCTGTCAAGTTGCCTATTTTCTTATAGGTCTAAGGTCTGTGTGCAAACCTCAGTTGTTCTCCCCTCCTCAGAGGTTTCTGGGAAGGCACCCACCCTTTCTCATCCTGTCTTCTACTACAGAGCTCTGTGGACCAGCCTAGGACTCCTGACCAGGAGACCCAGTCCAGACCAGAAGGCCCTCTATACATCCAGTGCCCTCAACAACTCACCAATGAAGTTATTGAAACACTTGGGCTTGTGTTGCCAGTAAACACCCAGGAAATAGACGGGCACTCCTGTCAGCATGATGGCCAGGCCAGTGCCACACACCACAGGCTCCGACAACAGGCTAAAGATCAGCAGGAAGGCCCAGAACAACAAGTAGATGATGGGGAACAGCAGGTTGATCTGTGGAGCAGAGGTGCTGTTAGCTGTGTGGACCCCAGGGGCCCCAGGATCAGGGCATCCTCCTTCTTCTCAACCTACAGGGAGGCATCTTTGAGGGCAAAGGGTAGACTTCACTCAGCTCTGTGGCTTCCACACCCTTAGGCCTGACAGATCAAGTGCTATGTCAACAAATGTTGGTGAACTTGGGTAGTGGGACAGGAATAGAAGAGAGGAACTAGGGAAGGAATGATTTTCACTGGATCTTCTCTTCAGGGAAGGATGCAACAACACCTTGTCATCCACACCATGTGTTTGTGGCAATAATAGAAGCCCATGGGGATCGATAAGCTTGCTGGTATATTGGTATATATTTGCTGAGGTCCTAGGGTGGAGGAGAAGTGGAGGAATGAGGGAGAGGAAAGAAGGAACTGGCCTGGATCTGTCAGGTTCCTTACCCTTGCCCGGTTCTAGGCAGGGCCCTCATCTGGGCACCATGTGGGCAAATGTCCATCCCTCTCAATGTGAAAGATCTAATCCCAGGATCAGTCTCAATGTGTCTCTCTCAAGCAATTTGAGAAGATAAATCTGCCAAGGTCCAAGAAATCAGGAAACCTACCATAGTATAAGACAGTCAGGGGCCTCAGTTTTTTCAAAAAGAAGCATCAGCTCTATGGGCTTCATCCCATCTGGTTGGCCACAGGTGGGAGTTCCCAGTAGAGTCTTCTTCAAGACTCTAGATTCAGCTGCCTTTCTCTTCCCTGTCATCTCTTCTCAGAGGGTATGCAAGGGTTGGGGGAGGGATGGGTTATTCTACGTTGTCATTCTAGCAGGCTTTCTAAGAGTGGTAGGAAAGTGGTGGTGGAAAACAGATGTGGAGAGCTGGAATTCCTCAGCTGGAAGAATCTTCTGGAAGGATCTAGTCTTCTCTGTTTCTAGAATAGGATTGTTCAAATAGCTCAGGGATATACTCTATTCTTCCAATTTTCAGGAGAACCCAGAGTGCTCTCACATATTTTTTTCTGAGCAACCCCATTCATTCCCACCACACAATTATCTCGTGTAGTCATCAATAGGTTCACCAAGCACCCTACTACCTAGAGGGCCCTGGTAGTTTAACAAGAGAGGCACATGGAGGGTTGGGGTGGACTGGGAAGCTTCAGGGAAGAGGAGGAACTTGAGGCCTATGTGGAAAATGGTTAGGATTTGGATAGGCAGATGGGAGAAGGAAACTCATTCTGGGATGGAGACATAGCTCAAGTAAACTCAGCTATCTGGAGGGATAAGGAGGAGACTGGACAGACCAGCAGATTCAGGGAAATGTTGGAGAGATAAGGGAGTCTGGAAAAATCAACTGGAGTTTATAAGAGTCATAGGAAACAAAGAAATGACCTGATGAAAGTACATTTAATCTAACTTATTCTTCCAGCTGCAATTTGTTCTGGTCCTGTCTCCAGTGGAAAATGGAAATGGCTGCCCCATTTATACATAACCCTTGCTTTCCAGAGGGTCTGCTACCATCATAGAAATTATGATCTGTGGTCAGCAGCTGATAACAAGGTGATTTAAAAATCTGGGCTGCAGCTAGAACCAGTAGAGGAGATGGAGGGGGTCCCAAGGGCAGCACCTTGATAGGGCGGGGGATGTCAGGCTTCTTCCAGCGAAGAACTATCTGTCCAGCAATTGTGACTCCATAGAAGAGGTAGTTGATGAAGCCCACGTAGTTGATGAGTGTGTACATATCGCTGGTGACCAGCATCAGCAGGGTTGAGATGCACTGTGGAGAATGGGAGAAACTCATCAGTAATCAGAAAGATATTTGGACACTGGAGGAGCTATTTACAGGTCAGGGGACTGTTCTGCCTCTAGGAAGACAACACCATTTTATGATGAATGTCTCAAAATTGAGACTTTACAGCATCCCCTAGTCACCCTGGCCATTGCTAACACCTTCGTTGCCAGTAAGTTCTTTCTTATTGCAGGAGTGATAATAAAAATATTTAAGCACTGGTATGGCATGGGCACTAACCAATCAGAACAGATACTGGCTGTAAACAACTGGATTGGCCACACTGGCGACAGTGGCTCTATGTCTGCCCTGGTCTCATTTATATTTCTTCCTTGGTTGTAGCTCAAGCTGGTTTTTTTTGTTTTGTTTTGTTTTGTTTTTAGTCCCTTAGGGAAGATTGTTAACTGCAGATTAAAGCTTTATTCTTACCCTTAATTTCTTCTCCTCAGTCATTT